GCCCCGCCTCCACCACTGACCATCGAAGCCGCGGGACAGAAATACGCCCAGACGACCGAGTTCCGGTACCTCGGTGGCCTCGTCAACGAACATGGCGACCTCACCCGGGAGATCAACTACAGGAGCAGAGGAGCGTGGGCGTGCCTCAGGCGATATGGCCGGGAGCTAATCGACAGACCGCAAGCGCCATCCGACTCAAGATCCGCCTGCTCCAGGCGGAGGCGATGGAGGCACTGCTATACGGCGGCATGACATGGTCACCACTCAGCGGCCACTATCAGACGCTGCGGTCGATACACCACCGACTGCTCCTTCGAGTTATCGGGTACAAGCGCAAGAAAGACACCACCAGTATCTCCTGACCTTCTGTTTGATCGGAAGGCCATGCAGCAGCGAGGACCCTGACCTCCAAACCGTACGCAAAACAAGGGTCGCGGCGCGTCCGGGGCCAAGGGTCGCGGCGGGAAGCAGAAGGCGAAGAAAGGGTCACCCGGCACCAGCGACGAAAGCGGGTCGGAGGCGAGCGGTGCGTACACCGAGGTTGATCTGTCGTCCAACGCGATCCGGATGTTCACAGGGGCCGGCGAAATTCAAAGCCGAGCACAGGTGAAGAAGGAGACTGCTGCGGTAGCGGCCGCCAACGCGCAACTGCAGGCCCGCCGCGTCCAGGAGACCAACACAGGCAAGCTGGTGACGGCCGTGGAAGCTCTGTCGGCGGCTGTTGTGTCGAGGCAGTCTTTGGATGAAGAGGCCGCAGGCAGGGCTCGCTTGGCGGACGCTCGAGAGGCCAAAAAGGCGAAAATTGCAGACCTCAAGGGGATGTTGGAGTATGAACCATCCGAAAAAAAAAAAGATGGAACTGCGAGCCGAAATGATGGCCGCTTACGAGCAGCCCGACAGCTACTTCTTGGCCAAACCCATCTCCGCGGCGACACCACCCGGCGCAGGAGCTGCACTCCGTACGTCCGTTTCTACTCCGCCTGCTGCGGCAACACTCGCATCTACGGCCGGGGTAGGAGGCAGCCCAGCCCCCATGTCGTCCTAGCCCGCGGCGGCTACACCCGTGTCCGCGGCGGGGAAAGCTTCCAGCCCTACGCCCGTGTCGTCATCACCCGCTACGGCAACGCCTACTTCCTCTGCTGCGGTAGTTGCCCCCGTCGTCTTGGGCGCAACACGGTCTGCAACACGGTCCGCCCTCCCGGGATTCACCGGGGCGCGGAAGAGGGGTGGTGTTGGTGCGAGAGCGGCATGTCCCGTTGCTAGCGCGGCTGAACACGTGAGAATTTAGAGAGAGTGTGTGTGTGTGTGTTTTGTGTACGGGCTATGGCAGCCATGCTTGTCATGCCCTCTCCCCCACTGTCCCCTTGTGTCCAAGTTTTTTGGTAAAGACGTTGTTTGCACCGTCCGACATGCCTTCTCTTTGGTTATTTTTTTTTCTTGTAGCGGTTGTGTGTTTTTATGGCGTACGGGCTACGGCAGTAACGCTTGTCATGCCCCCCCCCTCCGCTTTGTTCCCACGTTTTTTGTAAAGACGTCGTTGCACCGTTCGACATGTCTTCCCTTTGGGTATTTTCATTTGTCTTGTGGCGAATTATTTCTTTTGGTGTACGGGCTATGGCAGCCATGCTTGTCATACCCTCCCCTCTCCCCCTCTGTCCCCTTGTGCCCAAGTTTTTTGTAAAGACGTTGTTTGCACCGTCCGACATACCTTCTCTTTGTTTGTTTTTTTTTCTTGTAAACGGTTGTGATTTTTTTTGCGTGTGGGCTGCGGCAGTAATGCTTGTCATGCCCCCCCCCCCTTCCCTACGTTATTAGTAACGACGTTGTTGCACCCTGTTCCCCCGACCCTCTTATGCCGGTTGTTTCGCCGTGCGTGTGTGTGACCAGCATCGTCTGCACGGTCTTCGCGCTCATCCACGACATGTGGTGGATGCTTGCAAAGCAGTTGCCCCTGCCGAGTATGGTCAGCCAGGCCAGTACCTGCACCAGCAAGTGCAACAAGGAATGTACACACGGGATATCGCGGTGTCATTATTAGTGATGTGATGTGGTTGCGTGTACCGTACGTCGTGTGGAAGCATCTCACGGGCGGGAAGACTGAGCATTGCGCCGTACGCTAGCCAACAGAACGACTGCCAGTTTAGCTTTGCGATGTCGCGCCGACTGCAGAGCTCTTCTCCTGCGTTATCTCGGACGCCAGTTCAACCCGATGTGACGTCACAACGAACGGTGGTGCTGCAGTTGTACATAGCAGCAGCTGAACCGAAAGTGTACATCATGCTGTACCTACAGACAACACCGACGAAACACTGTCCGGTGAACATATGCTGTTGTGCACGGCAGCAGAGCGACCGGGTGCACTTTTTTCGAGGGCTGGAGAGCACGGCCGGTGGTCACCAACCGCGTCTCGGCAACGACATGCCCAGGAGACGGCATGCAGCTGCATACACAAATACAATATGCGCCTGGTTCCACCGCCTAATGCACTCTACACAACAGCAGCAGCAGCAGTCCCCTCCTTGTTGGTTGTGGACAGAGCATCCGTACTGCTGTACGATTTGAGTACCATGTTTGAGCCCGACAGTGCGAACACGGCCAGCGGTCACCAAGCGAGTTGTGTCGGGCATGCCCCAGCGACGGCATGCAGCTGGTAACAGGAGGAATAGAAAAATGTTGTCTACAGCAGCTGTCCCGCCGCTACATATGTTCAACTCTACACCACAGCAGCTCCCCTTCTTGGGTATAGGCCAGAGTCTGCACTCGTACGAACCCAATATGCCGTCAGCCTACCTTGTGCTCCGCGGGTGGCTTTGACGACCTGCTGCATCGCAGCCAGAAGTGGTGAACCAGTCCTAGCTCTTCACCAACGCCACGAGTCGCAGAAAGAAGCTGTAGGGGACGCGGAAGTCAAGGCGAAACTGCTTGGAGGTTATGCTGTTGCTGTCCTCGAGGTCCTTATCCTCCAACATCTGTGCCCAAGCGCATTTCTCCACGTTTTTCCTCTTTCGCTGTCCTCTTGAGAGTTTAGGGCGGGGAAGGTCGGACGCACGATCCTCCTTCTCTTCTTGCGACAAGTCGTTGCGTTGGACCTCATCAAGGGCGACCAAGGCCACAGCAAGAGCGGTTGCTGGTAGCAGGGCATCACCCACACCGGTTTCGGCCATCGGAAGAGAGCCCAGGCTGCTGATGTAGGGTGGAGTCAGGCGAGTGGCACTCCCGCCGCCAGGGAGGAGTGCCAGCGATGGCAGCCACTTCCACATTGGCGATGCTTGTGTGTGTGTGTGTGTGCCAGCAACGTCGGCGCGTGATTCGAAAAAACATAAATGACCACCTTTTTTGACAAGCGCATCCTGTCAAAAAGTTGCCCAAAAACTGACAGGCGGTCGAACAAGGTTCGTCATTGTTTCGTTGTCATACTTTAGCGAAAAAAGACGTTGTAACACGGGGCTATTTGGCCAGTTGTCATTTTTTGAAAACAAGACAGCCTAAAAAAAGACATCGTAACAAATGGCCTAGCCCCGTGTTACAACGTCTTTTTTCGCTAAAATATGACAACGAAAAAATGACGAACCTTATTTGACAGCCTATAACACGGGGCTATTTGGCCAGTTGTCATTTTTTGAAAACAAGACAGCCTAAAAAAAGACATCGTAACAAATGGCCTAGCCCCGTGTTACAACGTCTTTTTTCGCTAAAATATGACAACGAAAAAATGACGAACCTTATTTGACAGCCTATAACACGGGGCTATTTGGCCAGTTGTCATTTTTTGAAAACAAGACAGCCTAAAAAAAGACATCGTAACAAATGGCCTAGCCCCGTGTTACAACGTCTTTTTTCGCTAAAATATGACAACGAAAAAATGACGAACCTTATTTGACAGCCTATAACACGGGGCTATTTGGCCAGTTGTCATTTTTTGAAAAGAGACAGCCTAAACAAGACATCGTAACAAATGCCCTGTTTTTTTTATTTTCTTCTCTTTTCCTCTTTTTCTCTCTTTTTCTGTGCCAGATAGCCTTGTCTCTGCTTGCGTTGTGAAGTACCAAGATCCAAGATTGAACCAAGGGGGTGTACCTCATTCTCTCCGGCCTGTGATGANTTGACAGCCTATAACACGGGGCTATTTGGCCAGTTGTCATTTTTTGAAAAGAGACAGCCTAAACAAGACATCGTAACAAATGCCCTGTTTTTTTTATTTTCTTCTCTTTTCCTCTTTTTCTCTCTTTTTCTGTGCCAGATAGCCTTGTCTCTGCTTGCGTTGTGAAGTACCAAGATCCAAGATTGAACCAAGGGGGTGTACCTCATTCTCTCCGGCCTGTGATGATTACTCCTAGTCTCAGTTGTTACCTCGCATAGCGCGCAGAGGGAGTGGAGGACTCCAGAATATCTGTTGTTGATTTCTATTGACTTGCGGACCCCTCGGGGCCATTTTATTTGAGTGTACCTTTTTAGGGGAAGTTAGCCTGCGACCACGGGAATCGACCGCGTCGAGTGTTGGATCAGTACGGACATACGAAGGTACTGGGTAGAGAGAGATAGGAACGGTTTTTAATGTCAAGACAACAACAACAACAACCCAAACTCTGGGTACGTTGGGTACAGGACCCGTACCCGTACCCATATTCTGGATACGTTGGGTACAGTACCCATACCCGTACCCAAACCCTCGTCGGTTAGATACCCGCATTTTATAACCGATGGACAATTGGTGACGTCATCGAACCTGCCGCGCGGGGCACTTCGGCATTTCGGCGGGCCTTTTTTCTGCGGCCCAGCTCGAACCACACTGAGCGATGCCCAGCACCCAGGGTATGAAGCAGCAATGAGCCAGGCAACTGCTGGTTCCGCCGCCTCTACCGGTGATGGGGGTGGACCCTCCAAGCCAGCGCCAGCGGGTACAGAACAAGAACAGCAACAGCAACCAGACGTAGACTACGTTGTAGACGTGGATGGAGGAGGGCCCTCCGATACCGATGTGCGTATAGTCGAGCCCGCCCCTGTCATCGACATCGGGACCAAGAAAAAGGTCGATGTGCCGCAGCACGTGATTCGACGCCATCGAGGCGTACACGGCACCGCCTGGGTGGGAGGAGGAAGGGTGCCGTGGGGACTTCTTCAGGTACAGCCTGGGAAACTGTAGTACATGAAGGAGTCCTCACGGCACCCTTCCTCCTCCCACCCAGGCGGTGCCGTGTACGCCTCGATGGCGTCGAATCACGTGCTGCGGCACATCGACCTTTTTCTTGGTCCCGATGTCGATGACAGGGGCGGGCTCGACTATACGCACATCGGTATCGGAGGGCCCTCCTCCATCCACGTCTACAACGTAGTCTACGTCTGGTTGCTGTTGCTGTTCAAGAACAGCTTTCTTTTTAAGTCGGATCCTCTTTTCCAGCTTCGTGCCCTTGGTATGTTGTACAGCAGTTCGGACACGCAGATAGACATGAAACGATCGGGAGGAGATCGTACACCACTACTACTGTAGTACCGTAATAGTCGGAGAGATGGCACCGGTCGTGGATATGACACCGGGGTGCGCAAAAAATACAAGAAATATTCCGCACCGGGGTCGGAGAGATGGCGCCGGTCGGAGAGTTGGCACCGGGGCGCGACGAAACAATCGAGGAATAAAAAATTAAAAAAACGATCGCACCCGGTGCCATCTCTCCGACTATTAGGTAGTTTCATCGCCACCATCGAGCGCAGGCTGTTGTTTTTGTGTTGGCTTTGGTGAAGGAAGGAACCGCCGCTGAGCAGCGTCTTATGTTTTATAGCCAGCGGCCGTATAATTTTTCTTACTTCTCTTGAACATTGAGCCTCGTTTGCCTACAGAGTGCAACGTTTCTGTCCCCCGGTCTGTATGTGCCTTGAAGTTATACGACACAATACAACACACCCCCTGGACCGATTTTCAAATCTCGATTACTCCACGCGACGAAGATGATACACAAACGAAACGACACATGGCAACGTTTTAGGAGAGCTCTCAACCAGACGGCTTCAACGCCCCTGTTTTCGGCACCCCCACTTTTTCTGCTGTTCATAAAGAGAGCTTTGAAAATCGGTCCATGGGGTGTGTTATCTTGTGTCGTATACGGTATGTACTGAAGTATGAAGACAAGATCACCCAACTTCGCGCTGCGTGCTCGTCCAGTTCGCGGCCGCTAGGCAGTGCGTTGGCGGTGGGTGAGCAATCTAGCCTTGCTCGCGTGAGGAACCTAGCCTTGCTACGTTCAACATCGATTAGTCCTAAAGAGCTACTATCAAAGTGTAACCAACGTTGGACAATATTGTCCTCTCCGATTGTAATGACACTCTGTACATACACATTATTATACGGTTTTTCAGGGTTCTAGCAATGATCTGCAAACAACTCATCTCGTCCGTATGACGGGTAAACATAACAAACAGCAGTCCAAGCTGTTTCACTGATACGACCTCCAAGCCCACTGACTTTTGTAACTGCTGTCTGTCGTCTGCGGCAGCGATTGATTTGAGCGGCGGTGCGCCTGCCGCCTGATAGCGTCGGCGGCCATGGGGAGCTCAGCGGCGGAGGATCAACGCCTGGAGCGGAGTATTTTCGGACCGCAGGTGGTTGCGCCTTCGAAACCCCATTACTCCGACGAGTGGGCATTCCCCGTCGCCATGGTTATCCTATATGTAGAGAAGGAGGGTTTGGTCTGGATGCCGAGAACGCAAAACTTTTGTTTGGGCACACGCGAGCTAAAGGTACTATTATACAAAACGCCCAACAGCACACACTTAATAATGTTTGTGTTTTGTATTGATTCCGGAGAGGATGTGCGGGAGGTACAAGCTCCGACCGCCGCTCGGCCCTATGCCAACTTGGTCTGTCGCAGATACATACATACGTACCTACCTCGGGTGAGATACATGTCTGGATGACCTCGTTCGTGGTTCTTCGCATCATCATTGGTAAGAAATCGCACGGTCTACATATTATTATTATATATATATATGCTTCCATGGTAAACGAAAACTTCTAAGACCGATGTTTATGGAAGCAGAATCTTTTAACAAAATGTTGAAACTTTTGCCAAACATTTTGCTCTGAATAATCGGCGATCGAAGATTTCCGTCTCGATTTTATGGGTACAGCAAAAAAATGTTCGCCTGGACTGTCAGCTAGGGGGGTTATTTTTGGTTCTAAGCTCGGAACCGAACAGCATACCCTAATATTTTGATCATACGTCATCCCCCACGCGCCCCCACCTCACACCTCACATCACACACCCTGTCCCACACACACCACTCCACACACCACACGCACCACACACCGAAGGCCTTCCTCCCTTCTCCCATCAGAGCCTCCACAACTCCGCAACACGCCGGTCATCATAGAAACATGGCGGTCAACTTTG